CAAAGATGCTACTGACATGATGTCATTTGTTTGTCTATCCGGAGTTCAAGAGTATAGTGTAGAATTACTTGGCAGAGGGATGTGCAATCAAATTTACAATTCAACAAACAATTATTCAAAATCTGCGTAATGGCTAAAATATGTCAATGGGCATCTGTTAGCAAGAGCAACAAACAATCAAAGATAGCAGGATGGGCTGGCCTAATTTGTTGTATTTGATGTCGTTAGAACAGGTAAACAAGTTACTGCACATGGTCAAAAGTTGCAAAGAAACCAACAAACATACAAAGACGATCAAAATTTTCACCGGAGAAGGATATGAATGCCATTTTGTTGGAAACTAGTAATGTCAGTTCGATTGCAGCTAAGACCTGCAGACCGAATCTTTTGGATTACATGACTGAAAACCAAAGAAAAAACTTAATACTTTCTTTTGGGAAAACTAGACAAGATCACAAGATGTGTGCAAAATTTTGAAGAAGCATCCTGCGGAAGAATGAAAAATAAACGGATAGTAATATATTACGTACGATGACAGGACACAATGCAACAACAGATTAAACATGGGCAGAGACAATTACATCAGATCCCTAGCCTCATGGTGCGATAGTTTGCACATCACTTTGGTATGGTGCATCCTAAATATGGAGAACCACATTCATCATAGAACTTTGCAGGGCAGGTTGACTGTAATATTATCATAAAGAGAATGAAGTTAAAAGGTTTGCCTATTATAGCAGAGCCAGATCTGTTGGAAACCCTAGAACATCTTTTGCACGTGGAAAAGGAGGCGGTTAGTCAATGTGTTCAATTGTTGGATTTACATATGCACGTGGTATTACTTATGGATTCACATAATTACAGGTGCTTCCGGTCAAAATCTACCATCGTGAAAGTGCAAACCATGGTGTAAAGTTTAATATGACACATGGCTATTCATTATTGAAAAATATCCTGCAGCTATCTTCACCCTCTGAACTTGTCTAAAGCACCAACTATGAAGATTGACACCTATAAACTTTATGGATAGAAGGATAAAGAATGACTGATTTTACTTCTGGGATCATACAAAGAAAAGACAGTAGCAACAAAAATAGGCAGGACTCTTTCCCTGCGTCAGTCCCACATACCAAAATAAACATGAAAGAGAAACTATGACCGTGCAGCTTAAAGTCATACCAGTCAGCAATCAGTCAATTACAAATCGCTTTTAACACACACACAAAAGAAACTTACAGCACCACATGACACAATAATACTATACTATATATGTATTTAGTGCATAGTTAAAGGCATGAATGAGAAAACCGAGGGCAAGTGAACTTATTCGTGATAGTGAAGGTAATCACACCTTAGTGTTTTGACATCACATTGAGCTTCATCAGCTTCTGAGCTATAATCCAGTTTGTGGCCAGGCTCCCGATAGATGTTTTGCAGTATATATGGAACATATCTTAGACCTCCAAAATGATTCAGATTTGAAGAGCAACATAACAGAGAGATTCAATACCATGAGTGTCATACAAATAAGCGAAATAACACTAGCACAATATTAGCTTGCCTGGTTACAAAAGACAGAGGACACACTGCATAGCTACGATACAAACATCATCACTTGCGGACATAAATAAGCTTCAGACTCAGTATATCGCCAGGAGGAATCACAATCTAATCCATGGCACATACTCCCTCCAGTCCTTTTTACTCTGCATATTAGGTTTGTCCGAAGTCAATCTCATTTAACTTTGACCAAGTTTATATAAAAAATTATAGACATTCACATAACAACACCAATATCATTAGATTCATCTTGGAATATATTTTCATATTATATTTATTAGATATTATAGATGCTAATAATTTTCAATATAAATTTGGTCAAACTTAGCAAAATTTGACTTTCGACAAATCCAATGTGCAGAGTAAAAAGGACTGGAGGGAGTATTATATAGATGGATGTTGCTCAGTAGATCAAGCTTCTTCGTCGCTGTCATGGTGGATGATGTCGTACTGATCGTCGGGGAGGTTGGCCCTTGGGTCGTCGTCGTTGAAGACATCGACCTGAATGTAGGCGTAGCCGTCGCGCTTGAAGTCGGCGAGGACCCTCTCATGGTGGGCGCGCTCGGCCTTGATGGCGACCATGGAGCGGAGCGTCTCGGGGAGGTTGGGCAGGGGAGGGCGTGGCTTCTTGTCCCACTCCAGCAGCCACTTGATGTAGCTGTTCCGATGGTCCATCTTCACCATCTTCTGCTCCTTGATCCGATACCCCTCATACGGGTTGAGCCTCAATCTCTCGGGGGATGCAGCACCACCAGCAGGCGCCGCCTCCTTCTCCATCGAGATCGAAGCCGCCTTCGCCATCGAGATCGATCGATTACAGGAGTGGATGGTGTTGGCCGGGTGCTCCCGGGGTGCCGTGTCGTGCATATATAAGTCGCCCCAAGGCTAGCCCTGTTCGAAATGGACTAGCCCTGTTCGAAATGGATTCTGTAGCAGACGGCCCATGGGCTTCTACCACAACCCATGAGTCATAACTCAGCGCTACTATATCGAACAAAACCGACCTTCACATAAAAAAACGTACCTTCTTAATATTTGCAACGCTCAATAATTTTGACGATGTTTTTTAAAGGTCTAAATTCATATATTAAAGTTTACGGGTCCTTACAAACATATGCTTTTAGCAAAACAGAAAAACATTCAAAATTTTGAAGGTGTCAAAGTCTTCTTCTTCCAGCTTCTACCGACGGCACGTCGTAAGCTTAGTTTGATGCCAGCTTGGGCCTCCGCCTTGGAGATGTCGGCGGCCGCGATCGATGAAGCAAGTCACCACCCATGAGAAAAAAATACCAATAAGGGCATGTAGAAACTTCAAAGACCATGAAAATCACAAAAGCGAACTGTATCCAGACGTATCCACCGGAAACATAAATCGCCTGGATCCCCCAAAACCCGCCAAAGACATGACCCCACATGCCATCAGCCGGCAAAAAACCACACCACTGGAACGAGGTTAGGGCGGGGGGAACAATATTCCTATATTGAGGCAACGCTGCCACTTCACCACCCCAAATCTAACACGAAGACTCCCTAAAAGACCTAGAAAAAATCACACTTGTCATTGTATCGCATGTCCGGATCCGATGTCGAGCTCGCCGCTGTATAGAAGGGAGTACACTAACGCTTTGTTTTTCGATGATCCAACTAGGCTAGACCATTAATGAGGATCTTCGTGTTGGTTCCCTCAGGCCGTTGCCAGCTTCACCAATGCCACTGTGGTATAGTGTTTGAGTCTCGATGAAAGCCTTCGCTTTATCAAACATCTCCTTCACCATCCCAGAACAACCCCCCAACTCCACAATAGAACCCCCCTATATGGACCTCCCCACTGTGGCCGATGCCACACAGGCTTTGCTAGACGACGAACCCTGACGACAGTGAGAGGGTAGATGAATGGTGATGCCGTGGCAGCTAGGGTTACTTGATAGCCCTCCTTGTTGCCTCTTCTCAGCAAATGATTTGATGCCTACATAAGGCATCTGGTAATCTGATTTCGATGATGATGTGGTCATAAGCAAGCAGCCCATCTGTCTTGAAAGTCTTCACTACAAGCAAACAATCAGAAGCGACTGGAAAATTTAGATCGTTCACCGCTCGTATGCTCGATTTGTCTTTTTTAGGGAAGTAAAATCGGTTTTCAATTCAATAAAATTCAGGCTGTGGTAGAATCCCATGGGCCATCTATTACATAATCCATTTCCGGATGGCCTAAGCCCTAGGGCAACTATGTATGTGCCCCCTCGGGGCACCTTACCAAAACAACATCCACCATCGGGATCAATCGATCTCAATGGATAAGGCAACAATGGTTGCTGGTGTCGAATCCTCTAATATTATCATAAAGAGAATGAAGTTAAAAGGTTTGCCTATTTTTGCAGAGCAAGATCTATTGGAAACCCTAAAACATCTTTTGCACGTAGAAAAAGGAGGTGGTTAATCAATGTGTTCAGTTGTTGGATTTACAGATGTAGGTGGTATTACTTATGAATTCACATAATTACAGGTCCTTGCGGTCAAAATAAACCATCATGAAAGTGCAAATCATGGTGTAAAGTTTCATAAGACACATGGCTATTCATTATTGAAAAATATCCTGCAACTATCTTCACCCCCTGAACTCTTGTTCCAATATAATTCCATTAAGTTTACATAAGTACAATCACAAAACATAAAACAGCAACTATGAATATTGACACCTATAAACTTTATGGACAAAAAACAATGGACTCCAAACAAGCATGAGAAAAGGATAAAGATTGTCCTTCTGGGATCGTACGAAGGAAATATGGATTGTAAGGCAATAGTAAGACGGTGGCAACAAAAATAGGCAGGAATCTTTCCCTGTGTCCGATCCCACATAGTACCAAAGTAAACATGAAAGAGAAACTATGACCATGGGGCTTAAAGTGCAGCATACCAGTCAGGAATCAGGCAATTACAAATCAACAGCATGCACTCTCTTTTGTTACACAATAATATTATGTATTTAGTGCGTAGTTAAAGCCATGAATGAAAAAACAGAAGGTAAGTGGACTTATTCATGATTTTTTTTGAGAATCTTTATTCGTGATAGTGGAGGTAATCACACCTTAGTGTTATGACTTCACATTGAGCTTCATCAGCTTCCTGAGCTATAATCCAGCTTGTGGCCAGGCTCCCGATAGATGTTTTGCAGTATAGAAGATATCTTAGACCTCCAAAATGATTCAGATTCGAAGAGCAACGTAACAGAGAGATTCAAAACCATGAGTGCCATACAAATAAGTGAAATAACACTAGCAGAATATAGCTTTGCCTGGTTACAAAAGCCTGAGGACACACTACATGCTACGATATAACATCATCACTTGCAGACATAAACTTAAGATGTAGTATATCGCCAGGAGGAATCACACTCTAATCCATGGCACACATTAGATAGATAGATGTTGCTCAATAGATCAAGCTTCTTCGTCGCTGTCATAGTGGAGGATGTCGTACTGGTCGTCGGGGAGTTTGGTCCTTGGGTCGTCGTCGTTGAAGACATCGATCTGGACGTAGGCGTGGCCGTCGCGCTTGAAGTCGGCGAGGACCCTCTCGTGGTGGTCGCGCTCGGCCTTGATGGTGTCCATGGCCTCGCGAGACCCCTCGCGGGACTCCTCGGGCAGGTTGGGCAGGGAAGGGCGGGGCTTCTTGTCCCACTCGAGCAGCCACTTGATGTAGCTGTTTCGCTGGTCCATCTTCACCATCATCTGCTTCTTGATCCCATACCCCTCATACGGGTCGAACCTCAACCTCTCGGGGGATGCAGCACCACCAGCCTCCTCCATCGGGATCGAAGTCGCGATCCCAGCCTCCTCCCTCGAGATCTATTCCGTCGAAACCGGGGGCGTGGATACGTGATGTCTGGTGTTCCGGCTGCCGTACATATAATCGTCCCAAGCCCTAGGCCCTGTCGGAAACGTATTCCTTTTTTTTTCTTTTTCCTTTTTCTTTTTTTACCTGACTCGGAAACGTATTTCTTACAAGGGCTTCTCCAACGCTGTATCTTAGATTGGACACTAAGTTCGGATATGTCCGCGAAGATTTTAGCCGTAGTCAATCATCCAACCCGATGCATAGAATAAAAAACGGACACGACATTTTCATTAAAAATTAAGATTTTATAAATAGCAAAAGAAACCCGCCCTAGTCTATTCTTCGTCAAACATGGGCCCACGTCATATACTCTTTGCCGAACGTGGGCACGTCTGTGTCCCACGTCCTACTCCTCGTCAGAGTTCGCCGCATGGCCATTGACACTGCCGGTGGAGGTGAGGTCGATGTTCGTCCCAGACGCTCTGGCCCTATGACCGTTGCGGCCTAGTACGAACGATGTGAAGCTGCTGACATTGGCAGCGTTCTCGTCCGCGATCAACTGTGGTGTCCAAGCGCTCACCTCTGCCGCAAGCTCCTCGAACATGCTGTCGCGCTCCGCCTAGTTGGCACGGAGCCACCACCTCTCGTGCCACGAAATCATACATCTCATCCACGATACCCAGATTCTCCGTGAGCATGGCCTCGATTGTCTGCTCGTCGGCGATCTGGCCCTCCGCAAGCCAGTGCTGCTCAAGGACCTGCAGGTTGTACCATTGCTCTCTTGTAGCATCTAGAATGCGGAGACCGGCGGCACCAACGTCTCCACCATGACAATGTTGTAGTGTGCCTCCGCCTGTTGTAGAACCCGCCAGCGGGTGCAGGTGCCTGCTCCTCCTCCTCCTCCATTATGGCATTCTACTCTTTCGAGTTCTCCTCATCCAGAGAGCTCGGAGGCTCTCCTGCTTTAATGCGGGCAGGGCGTCGGGCACGCCGTGCGTTTACCTCGGTCATGATTTCATGGCGGCGCCACGGCGAAAGGCTCTTCCACCAGCCATGGCAGGTCCTGACTATTTTTCACGGAGGTGGACGAAGGAAGAAGGGTAGAGGTGGTGTGCCGACGGCACAAATGGAGGGAGATGGGTCTCATAGGTGGTTTGGTTTGTGTTGTGGCCATTGGTCTATAAATAGTAGTGGGTGCCCTGGCAAGAAAAACGCCGGCTTGAATGTGTTCGGCTGGAGTTGGCTTCTCGTTCATCGCCCTGATGTAAATGCTGGCAGGTGAATAGATGTTCAACCCACATGAATGTGGTAGGAAGCCGTCTCGTCGCCCCCCAGTCATGTCTAATCAGAACAAGCATTAATGCGACACGGAGAGGTATTTGCACACGACACGAGCAGCGGGCTGGGGCAGCTTTCTCGACAGTTGCACCCATGTGAATATCGCACCATTTGGCCTAAATGCAGTAGTGAATGGTTATGTGCGCTCTACGCCGGCATGAAATGCAGTGCGGAGAGCAGAGTGCTAGTTGGAGTAGAAAAAGAGAGGGGGGGTTCTATGTCGGTCCTAAGTGTCGGAGGACTACGTGGCGGAGGTTTGGATGCCAGCAAACCTTCTATTGGTTTGCTTATGGTTTGATGTTGGAGGGTTAAAAGTGTCTGGACCACGTGGTCCGGACATTTAGGGGCGTTTGATGCACGGAGTTGGAGGGTTAAAAGTGTCTGGACCAACTGGACCACAACTTTCCCCTATAAGTCTTAGCAAATAGCTCGACCACCCCGACCAAAAAATACCATCCAATTAGACCCATGTACCCAACCCATATGTTCGGGTTGTCTGGCACTCCTCAAAACCAACCCATAAGTGGGTCAGATTCGTGTCTGTGTTGATGCGTCTGCCATGTCAGACTGACTAGTAAACCCATGTCAAAACCCATCTATCCACTCGGGTGGTCACCGGTTTGATCCCGCTTGTTGCATGTCACCCAAGGAGTCAATCCCCTACTATTTAAGTTATACAACAAGGGTAAACCCTTACCGCACCATTTCCTGTCGTCCGCACCTCCATAGATTCCCCAACTGCATCCCCTTATGTTACTTTCTCGTTATCTGCCATGGTCCACGAGAAGGTGACCTATTACAAAATGCTCATACTGGAGCGTCAGGTGGAGATTGCGATAGATATGCGTGGCACCCAGATTACGCTGACCTACCTCCAAGTGCTCCAGACCCAAGCTTGGAGGAAGAGGAGGAGAAGGAGGAGGGAAGAGGCGGCGGCAACCAGGAAGGATGAACTCGCTGTCGGAGGAAGCAAGTTTGGCATAGGCGAGGCGAAGGAACAGTTCTATCCTGTCAAAGAAACAAGAAAGAGCACCTTGCAGCGGAGGCACGAATGGAGTACTAGCGCGCAGGCGCTCCCACCTTCGCATCGCTCATCACTGATCGCGTCATAGTGGACAAAAACATGTCCACCTTTGAGTCACTCCAGTTCAAGCGGGTAGTGGGGTGAAGCATCGTGTTATCCACATCACAAACATTCAGTGGGAGTGGCTCTTCATTGGCGAGGAAGAGGAGACATCCTTGATTCACCCGCCACCGATGACGAGGTTGTTATTGGCTCCGACAAGGAGGTCATCAACATCTCCGACAACGATGAGTAGGATTATTAGGGAAGGTTTTTCTTTAAATGCATCTCGTTTTTATCTATGTCTGATGAACTATGTATGATGAAATCAACATTCTATGGTGTTATATGAAAGTAAGGATTTGGATATGAGGAGGACAGTTGGTCGGCTACGGACATGGACAAGTGAGAGGTGAGCGACGATGTCTGCTGAAGAACTCGGATGCATACAAGGACATATAACAGCACAAATTTTCTCCAACATATCTCCACAAAAACTTCCCCGATGAGTGGTTGCTACCTTAGTGGGGTGTCCCAATAAATTAGGGTAGATTTACAGGTGAGATAATTTAGCAAATCCCCATAAACCTTCCCAAATAATCTCCTTTCATTTCTCTTTAAACTCGAGAGGAAGTTTGGCCGATCGGGAGAGGTCTGGTACCCTCGAGAAGCGTGGAAGTGACAATCGAGAGGCAATGGTCGGTCACTGCCCGCATGTCGAGACCCATAGCTGGGAGGCAGTGGGTTGGCGAGGAGAGGTCGGTCGTGTTAGTGCGACGGCCGAGCTGATGTGGAGACGTGGCTGGGGGCCAGCTGCTACGGTGGGGAGAGATGGTTGGGATGGCAGAGAGAAGTGACATCACTATTGCAGATCTTGTGTGCCTCCCATCCGTTGCTCGCCTTCCCTCCACGTGTTGAAGGCGTCGCCCCCTCATAGCAGCACTATTGCAGATCCCAACTTCATGTTGGGGAACGTAGCATGCAATTTCAAAAAATTTCCTACGATCAGGCAAGATCTATCTAGGATATGCATAGCAACGAGAGGGGGATAGTGTGTCCACGTACCCTCGTAGACGAAAAACGGAAGCGTTAGTATTAACGTGGTTGATGTAGTCGAACGTCTTCGCGATCCAACCGATTTAGTATCAAACGCACGGCACCTCCGAGTTTAGCACATGTTCAGCTCAATGACATCCCTCGAACTCTTGATCCAGCAGAGGGTCGAGTGAGAGTTTCGTCAGCACGACGGCGTGGAGACGATGATGGTGATGTGATCCACGCAGGGCTTCGCCTAAGCACTACGAAGCTATGACCGGAGGAATAAACTATGGAGGGGGGCACCACACACGGCTAAGAGAACAATTGATGTGCTATGGGGTGCCCCCCTGCCCCGTATATAAAGAAGGGGAGGAGGACGCCGGCCACCAAGGGGGCGTGCCATGGGGGGAGTCCTACTAGGACTCCACTCCTAGTAGGATTCGCCCCCCCCCCCTCCTTTTTCCTTTCTTTCGGAGGGGGAAAAGGGAAGGAAAGGGAGAGGGGGAGGAAAGGGGGGCTGCGTCCCCTCCCCTTGTCAAATTCCGACAGCCCATGGGGGGCGCGCCACCCCTTGCGGGCTCCCCTCTCTCTCCCCTATGGCCCATATAGGCCCATTACTCCCCTAGGGGTTCCAGTAACCTCCCAATACTCCGAAAAATACCCGAAACATTCCGAAACCATTCCGGTGTCCAAATATCATCGTCCAATATATCAATCTTTACCTCTCGACCATTTCGAGACTCCTCGCCATGTCCGTGGTCTCATCTGGGACTCCGAACAATCTTCGGTCACCAAAACACATAACTCATAATACAAATCGTCATCGATCGTTAAGCGTGCGGACCCTACGGGTTCGAGAACTATGTAGACATGACCAAGACACATCTCCGATCAATAACCAACAGTGGAACCTGGATGCTCATATTGGTTCCTACATATTCTAAAAAGATCTTTATCGGCCAAACCGCAATAACAACATACATTATTCCCTTTGTCATCGTTATGTTACTTGCCTGAGATTCGATCATCGGTATCATCATACCTAGTTCAATCTCGTTACCGGCAAGTCTCTTTACTCGTTCTGTAATGCATCATCCCACAACTAACTCATTAGTCACATTGCTTGCAAGGCTTACAGTGATGTGCATTACCGAGAGGGCCCAGAGATACCTCTCCGATACTCGAAGTGACAAATCCTAATCTTGATCTATGCCAACCCAACAAACACCTTCGGAGATACCTGTAGAGCATCTTTATAATCACACAGTTACGTTGTGACATTTAATAGCACACAAGGTGTTCCTCTGGTATTTGGGAGTTGCATAATCTCATAGTCAGAGGAATATGTATAAGTCATGAAGAAAGATAGCAATGCAACTTAACGATCATTATGCGAAGCTAACAGATGGGTCTTGTCCATCACATCATTCTCTAATGATGTGATCCCATTTATAAAATGTTAACACATGTCTATGGTCAGGAAACTTAACCATCTTTTATTAACGAGCTAGTCAAGTAGAAGCATACTAGGGA